GACAGCACGTCCAACCAGACTCCATTTTTGTTAATTTTCTATATTTTTTTGGTCTTTTGTTTTTTTTATATTTTTTGTTTCTTTTTTTGCTTTTTTTTAAGAAAAACAAATAAATAATAAAATCAAAAAACTAAAAATGGTGCCTCAGGACTTTTTTTAATTTATTTTATTTTATTTTTTTTACACTATAAAAACAAAAGCTGATTTAGTTTATTTTTTGACAGTTTAGTCCAGTTTAAGGGGTTGTTGTTCATCAAATACTCCGCCAGGAAGTGGACAGGGTCTTGTGGCTGAGCGGAGCAGCAGGCCAGCAGGCCCTGGGACAGAGTGGGCATCACATGCTCCATCAGGTAACTCCTCATCTGTGCTGTCTCAGCCTCCAGAAGATCCTCCTCCTCACGACGCAACTGCTCCACAGACCTGGACCATTCCTCCCAGCGGGCAGCTCTCTCTCTGGCCTCCTCTGCCTCTCTCTTCTCCTCTTCTTCTTTCCTCTGTGCCTCACTCCTCTGTTTCTCCTCCATCTTTTTCCACTCCTCCTCCTCCATCTCTTCGATGGTGGGGCTGTAATTTCGAGATGGACCTACAGTTTCAATGATCTTCTCCAACAGATGCAAACAGCTGGGTTCATTCTTGCTTGTGATTTCCAAGTTCAAAGTGGGTTAGGGTTAGGGTTAGTATCATGGTTATAGACCCGTCCCCAGCCGGGAACGGGCGGAGCACGGGCTCTCTCACGGGCGACGGCCCTCCAACCCCCACTGCCGAAACGGCGCGGACCCAGCCCACGGGCCCGGCGTCCAGACCGGAAGCTCTGTTTTTTCTCCTCTTTCTTTCCTTTTCTTAAAAAAAAAGACGTTTCGGGCTGCAGTCAGCCCTTCTTCGGATCCGAGGCACAAAAAGAAAAAAAGCTTGGGAGATGTGTTGCTCTACCAAGCGTCAGTGAAATAATGAGGAGCAGAGCCTGTGTGTGCAGAACAAGGGAGCAGGAAGGGAGGGGCCGAGCGGGCATGCCCCAACATCTCACCTGTCCCTGCCCCGTGTTGTTGTTAGTGTTCAATGTAAACACACAGGCTCTGCTCCCACACCCATGTATTCATTAAAATATTTTTTTATAGAAATAAAAATATTTTTTTTTATAGAAATAAAAATACATTTTTATAGAAATAAATTTTTATAGAAATAAAAATATCCCCAACTTAGGCTTAGCTAGTCAAAAACTATACCAATATATACAATATATACAAATATATACAAATAGGGAACGGTGGCTTGGCGGGAGGCAGTTCAATCGAGGTTAGGGTTAGGGTTAAAGTTAGGGTTAGGGTTAGGGTTAGGGTTAGGGTTAGGGTTAGGGTTAGGGTTAGGGTTAGCTCAACAAATGTATTCATGAAATAAGATTATGTGTAGAGATAGCACTTTTTCTGTCAGTTTAAAGTTTACCAGAAATACCTCAACTACACTGACAGCTGTCACATTGTTTATTCACTCTGGAGGATGAAGTCACGAATATAAAATAAAAAACTAAAAGTCACAAGTCATGAGTGAGATTCATTTAACTCTTCCATGACCTCGTCGTCATCTTTCATGATCACTTTCTGTTCTGAGTGGTCTAGGATCACGCCCATCTCTCTCTGCAGGGCCTCCAGACTGGTTGGGTTGATGTAGTACCGCAGGTTTTGGGACGGCAACAGTTTTTGTAACTCTTCTAACCTGCGGTATCCCACTTGGTACTGGCCCTGCTGACAGTAGTGATCCACCAAGAAACCAAAAGCATCCCCCACTCTGACAGCTGGGTCTAAGTCCGGCTCTTCTAACAGGGCTTCACAAACACGCACAGCCTCTGCAGCGTTCTCCACATACAACCTGCGCACATGGACAAACTTCTTGATTAAAGTGATTTTGTGTTGCATGTTTGACAGTTTGACTTCCTGTTTCCCAGAAGTATCCTTCGCTTTTGAAAGGCACTTATAGGCCTCAGTCAGAGCATCAAGTGCTTTTTCATAGTTTTGGTAATCGTCTATTTCCACCTGTGCACAGGCTTCATAGAAGCCCGCTAACAGCTCTGGCGCTCTGCCTTTAGTGTAGAAACCAATGATAGTTTTGAGAATTTCCGGATCTGTGCGCCAGTCCAGAGACTGAAGATAGTTTGCGGCCAAAATAAAAAAGGTCTTTTTGACGACAAACATTGGCAAAGAATACGATTTTCTCTGTGTCACCAGATTTGAGAAGAGCCCTCATAGCCTTTAGCTTATTCCCTGCTTGCGTGTACTTTTTGGTTGCTAGGTGGTAGTTGCCCTGTCGCATACAGCAGTCTGCTATCCTCTCCAGCAGCTCCTTCCTGGCCTCCTCAGACATGTCTTTTGACTCGGTCACAGTCATCTTCTCTGCTAGCTCCTCTGAGACGTCCAGGTTCTGGCTCACACACAGCTCCAGTGCCTCCTGATACTTCTTAGCTGCTACCAATAGCTCCACAGCCTTTTCATAATGGGCATGTGTAATAAAGAAGTCAGAGCAGCGTGCCAGCAGCGCGGGGTCTGAGCCCTCATTTCAGACCCTCTGCAATGAGCTGCAGAGCAGAGAACTGTTCTGTGGCAAAGGCCAGCTCCAGGGCTTTTGACACATAACCAGCCTTGTGGTAAAGAGCCACTGCTCGGTCCATATGTGTCCCTTTCTCCTCATAGTAACGGGCAGCCTCCATCATATCCTCTGGGTTACTGAGGAGAGCTAGGTTCATCAGCTGGTCGTCCAGACTGTTCTCCTTACAAAGCCGTATGGCATTGTTGTACGCCTGAGCTCGTGTGTAGAAGTGAACAGCCTGTTTGATATCGTCATGTCCCTCATAGTGCCGGGCCAGGTGGTAGGATGCTGCCCTATCCCCTGTGTCGTTGGCAATCTCAGACGCTTTCTGAATATTTCCCATGTAGCAGAAAACTCGAACAAGAGAGAGGTAATCCTGAGCCAACTCATAGTAGCGTAGTGCTGCATCCATGTCCGACTGGCTCTCAAGATACTGTGCCCACCATTTGTACACATTCTTGTCTCTCATTTTGTTCACATATATTTCTAGAGAGGATGTGTCGTCTTGAAGCATTCTTGGTACTTCAACCCTGTGGCTCTCGGATTTCTCAAAGAATGTGATGGCCTGTGCTTTCTTCCCTAAACTTTCCAGGTATTTTGCATAGTTGTAGTAGGTGGTACGCAGGTGGATGCGATCATGCGTTTCTGCTAGTTCCAGAGCTTTCAGCCAGTCTCCTGAGGCCTGGTAGAAGTTGTTGAGCAGGTCATATCGCTGACAGGACTTGTACAACTTCTCAGCGTCTTCCAACATGCCAAGCTGAATGGCTAACATTGCAACTTGTGCTTCAGCCTCTGGCTCGACCTCAGCCTCCTTCAAAGCTTTCGCTGCTCTGGGATTTCCCATATTCCCGAGGCAAACCCGTGCCACATCCAAGCGCCGGGTTTTTACACACATCCGCGCCATGTTTTCCCATACTGCTGCACTTTTAATTAGTTTGATAGACTTAAAGGCTTCATCCATATCCCCAATGGTCAAGTAAAAGCTGAAATTTAACATAGCGTCTCGGGTAGTTTTCTCACAGTTCTCCAGCCCCACAAAGTCTCGAAGTGCTCGTCTTGACACCATCTTTGGAGCAATGGGACTTTTGGGAGACAGGTGAAGGTGTGGAGATATGGCTTCAGATTGGCATGATGGATCCCTCTCCCCAGGCTTGCAGATGAAGTAATAATACGGCACATCCATTGCAAGGAGAGACTGCAGAACCGCTGGTTTGAGGTAGCAGTCGTGTAATAGAAGGCCATGTTCCTGAGTGCAGAACAGTGTCACCACGGAAACATCAGCCCCATCGACAGGAACAGGTGATGAACTCTCAGAGCTGACCGGCACAGTCTCACAAACGAAAAGACGAGGCTCACTTTCATCCCAGAAATGAGAAATGGGACAGCGGCCACTGAGCTCTGTCCCTTCTAACTGATGCCTGTCACCATCTTCAGATGGTGTGATACCACTTGAGGGTCTTCCACTAAAGAAGTCAAAGTGTGTAATGGTGTCCATCTCAACATCGTAAAAGTAGACTTTGTGGTCTGGCTTTCCGTTTTCCCGTGTAATAAGGATGCTGACTTGGCTGCCATTTGCGTTACACTTAACTGAACTCAAGTCTCCCAGATTGGGAATAAACTCAGCCAGGTTCTTGGCACTTGAATGAGCTCTGGCATCTCTCCGGGAGAGATCAAACACTCTTATGTGAGCAGTGTCTGTGCCAACTATTAGATATGACTGGCACACACTGAGCAGTACTGGGTTTCCTTCGGTTTTTGAAAATGTTAGTAATTGCTTCACCGTGCCCTGGGGTGTACGGATCTGGACTCTACTGGGTTCTACAGTGTATAGATTCTCTCCATGTACGGCTACTACATGGGAGTCACAAGTAAATGACCCAGAAGTGCGTAAGGCTGTTTCTGAAATGTCATAAACAGTAATCTGCTTGCCACTCCAGACTATCAATGACTCCTTTGTACCACAGACACCCTTGATATGTGAGTCTGACTGCAGAGCCAAGTGCATCTCTGGATTGAACCGAGAGACACTGAGCTGAGTCGGTGAAACCTGAACGGCTGCCACCTGCTGGTTGAAGTGGGCTGACAGAACATGTTCAGACAGGGTCAGGGCAGTGTAGGAATTGTTAGCAGCTAAAAGATTTAAGTTGGGATTCCACTCTAGTTGTGTGACATTGCCTTGTATTTCAGTAGGAGCTTGTAACTTCCACTGGATTTTAGTGTCTGACTTGGTGCTGCCTGACTGAAACACCATTTTCCACATTGCTATGCGACCACAGCTGGTACCTGCAGCCAGTATTTCTTTCCCTGAACAATAAGTGACACAGTTGACAAACTGTGTCCCGCAAAAAGTTTAATTCAGCTTCCACGGCTTTTTAAAAATTAACTCCGTATCTCCGTATCGTAGCTTTACAAAAGGTATATGGTGCCGCTCTGACTGTCAGCTGTGGTTACCAAACATAAGCTCACAAAACTAGCTTTAAGCTAGCTGATAAAGCTAATCAATTAGAGATTATATTATGGAAAATATACTAAATTGGGTTAGTCAAATAAAGTGTTTACATCAGCCGTAAATGTATTTAAAACTATGGCTTTTAAACAAAGAACAAAGACTTCATTCTATAAAGAAGATTAAAGGCAAATCAGAGCTTTTTAAATCCCCAGATCCATGGTTGCCGTGCCGTCTGCTTTGAAGAAGAACAAAGCCCCTTTCTTTCTTTATTTCTTTCTTCTTTAACTATTCTTTTTTCTTTCTCTTTTCTTTTTTCTTTTTCTTTTTTTAATTACAAATATGTATTCTGTAAACATTAGACTATCACCTATCATCTCCCAAATGTAACATACACATACAAATGCAATTAGTATTACATTTAAAAAAAAAAAAAAAAAAAAGCTATTTGAGGTGGAGTTGTCGTATCGTCATATCGTCTCTGTGTCGCCCATGGGTCTTTTCCTCTGTCGTGATGCAATCATATTCAGCTGATGTGTAGCTGTAGTTGCTTTTTGTTCAGCCTGTGTGAGGCGTAGCTGAAGACGGCTGGACATCTCCTGATACTCTGCTAGCTGTCGTTCATACTCTGCAATAGTGGCACGATCAGTTTCAAGCTGCAATTCAAGCTCATGTGAACGCTGCTTCTGACGATTCAACTCTGACTTGTGGCTCATTATTTTAGTCTCAAAGTCCTGGATCAGCTTTTTGGCCTCTTCTTTCCAGCACTGAGTAGTTTTTTGCTCTGCTGTGAGAAGCCGGGTTAGATCAGCACTATTTCTTTTGCCTGTTTCTTCCAACTCACGAATCTGAGCATCCAGTTCTCGCTCTTTCAAGCAATACTCCTGTTCCATTTGTGACATCCGTTGCTTGGCTTTCTTTTGATCAATCAAGTTTGATTTTCTTAAATCATCCATGTCTTTACGGAGTTGAGTGTTTTCCTGCTGCAGCTTAAGGCGCTCCTCACTGATGCTTACGCACTCCTCCCTGGCTATAGTCAAAGTGTTCTGCAGACGTCGTACTTCCTCTTGGCACCGGGACAGTTCCTCACTGTAGTCCGTTTCCATCTTCTTCAGTTTGCTCAGAGTGCTTTGTAGAGTGAGATTAATGTCTTCTCTCCTTCTCTCGGCCTCCAGACACCTATGGTGAAGAGCCTCTATCTTTCTGAACTCTGGCTCCGCACGTCCCTCTTTATACACCTTCTCCAGTTCCTCCTCTACAGCCTTTCTCTCTCGAAGTGACCTTTCAATTTGTGATTGGGTTAGGGGTTAGGGTTAGGGTTAGTATTTAACGTCCGCCCCCCGTAGGAGACAGACAAGGCTCTGGCTCTCCCACGGCTGCAGGAGCGCCGCCGACCTCCACTGCTCTGAGGCAGAGGTACAGGTGCCGGTGTCCGACCACAGAAACGGTGTCCGCGACGGACCAGAATCCATCCCGACATGATGGAAAAATGATGAAATCAATATATTTTTTTTGTGATTTTAAATTTTTTTTTGTAAAGGAATAAAAAGTAAATGAATTAAAACAGCCCGTTTGGTACAAGTAAATGAATAATGCTAATCATGAGTTAGCGGCTTAGCATGCTAGCGCTAAAGCTAGCCTAATAGTAAATCCGGTACGCAGAGTATAGAGAGTTTATTTTAATAATTAGCTAAAAGGAGACTTTTTAATGCACAGCGGACCAAGGCCACTCTCTTTGGACCCTTCTGCTGTGGATGTCAAGAGTCTCGTCCTGCGTGTGTGAGCTGCTCCTGAATCCTGCACGAGGCAGACACCGCCGCCATTTGAACAAGCTCATGGACATGAACGTGCTGTATGCCGCCTTGACCCTCCTCACTGAGTGGAACTACGGTGTTGTGATACTAGTGAGCCTCAGTGCACGTGCTTTTTGTTTTGGTTTGCTCAGCAAGTGAAGCGGCCATTTTATATGTTTTAAGGCCCCAACGCACCCGAGCAACATCAGGCCTGCAACAAAAACTGAACTGAACTGGTGAAATAAGTTAGGGGTTGAACATGTGACTGAAATACAAGAGGGTGTTATTATTATTAGTTAATTTTTTTTTATTGTATTGTAAATTCTAAGTGTAACAAACACACGAGTGTCATTTAATTTGACCCATTATTCTAATTGACTAAATTACAAATTTAGCATTTTATACAGTTTGTGTGCGCTTATTATTGGTATATATATTGGTAGAGATTTCATTGGGTTACATACATATAAATATAAATTCATTTATTCTTAGTGGGTTTTAAAAAATTACGTATTTAAAATATTCCTGCTAAGTGGAGGCACCGCCAAACAAAGTTTTATTCGATTTTTAGTTGTATCTCCTTAGTATTTAAAAGTAACTGTACCCAGGGCCCCGCCCATAGTACCACCACTATTTGATTAACACATTAGCTACATGGGATGGGTGCTACACAAATTGGAGGCACCGCTGGGATTTAGTTTCTTTTCCCGTAAACCAGATTTATTATTGCAACCTAAACAACAGTAACCTCAAAACGTAACCTGAGTTCCGTGACGCAAGCACTTGATTTTTACCCCAACTTTGAGTAACCTGGTTAAATAATGGCGGCTAAAAGTAACGCTAGTCTACCTAGCATAAATAAGTGGTGCCGAGGTGAAGGTATAGATGTTACACATGCCTTCATGGTCGTAGGTGTGTCTGAAGATGAAAAGATTGAAACTGTAGAAGCTGCTCTTGAAACCATAAAAGCCCTAGGCAGAGTTAGAGTGCGAGGCAAAATGTTTGACCCTGAAAGCAAAATGCTGACAATGCTTTGTGAATGCCGCGAAGCAGTTGACTCCTCCCGAGTTCCCCCTGGAGTTGCCATCGATGAAGAAGGCATTAATTGGCAGATAGTTATCGCTGAACAAGACAGTAGTTCAGACCTTTTTTCAGAGAAATTGGACAAATTTCTGCAGGAGGAAGGGAAGACACTTGAGGATATTCAGCGACTGTGCAGTCCTGGCGCTTCTTGGAACCAAAATCCAGAGTCAATCATTTGTGCAGTAAGTGATGTATTGCAACCAACAAAGTCAAATGAAAGTAGTTCATACAGGCGTCTAAGAACTTTCTCTGGAGTCCACCCCACTCCCCCTGGAGAGGACAACTTGGACAACTGGATTGAACAAGCAAAGTTTATGAGTGAGGAATACGAGTATTCAGACAAAGAGAAAAGAAGGCGAATAGTCGAAAGTCTCAAAGGACCAGCTTTGGAAATAATTCAAGCTGTAGGTACGTCAAAACCTGAAGCAACTCATATGGAATCATACAGGCATTGGAAAGTACTTTTGGAACGTCAGAATCGGGTGGGGAACTTTACCTCACATTCAGAGCCCTTCACCAGAAACAAGGTGAGTGTCTGTCGGACTTTTTGCTCAGATTGGAAAGAACACCGAACAAGGTCGTTCAAAGAGGAGGCCTGCAAGTCAGTGACGCCAACAAAGCCAGACTAGAGCAACTCATTAAAGGTGCAACTGAGTCTGATATCATGCTCCTTCAATTAAGTTTGAGAGAAAGGCGAGGTAACCCCCCACCATTTCTAACTCTACTCAAAGAGATCCGCGAAGAAGAAGAGCGGGAAGCCGCCCGCCAAAAGTTCAAAAAACCCAGTCGACAGTTTGTGCACTCAGTTCAGTCCTTTATTTGTTTAACCCTGGAGAACCCAAGACCCCTTTTCTTCTTTGGAAAATTATGAACTATACATAAATGACTGCTATGAGTCCACTGAACACCAAAATATCAACTTTTTCAATTTTAACCCTTTATTCCCTGATTTAGGATTAGGGTCAAATCTGACCCATTGGGTTTTACGCGTATCATTTCAAAGAATAACAATAGGAAACACTGTCAATGTTGATCACCGCAATAGACAAGAAATGCCAGAAAAGTATCATATACTAACAACGGCTCCGAATGGGAAATTTACAGTGTTCAAGACGCACATCCAGCATGTCAACTCCTCCCATGGAATCATTGTACTCCTGGCTGTTCAGCTGATCTGGTCTGGGTTGTCATGGCAACTCAAAGCCATCTGGTCTGGGTTGTCATGGCAACTCAAAGCCATCTGGTCTGGGTTGTCATGGCAACTCAAAGCCTTTCTTTTGCCACTTGTAAGCTTTTGCGGCACGATTTGGCTCCATATGTGTTCGGAGCCGTTGTTAGTATATGATACTTTTCTGGCATTTCTTGTCTATTGCGGTGATCAACATTGACAGTGTTTCCTATTGTTATTCTTTGAAATGATACGCGTAAAACCCAATGGGTCAGATTTGACCCTAATCCTAAATCAGGGAATAAAGGGTTAAAATTGAAAAAGTTGATATTTAGATTTTTGATGTAAACCCAAGCCGTGGAAGCTGAATTAAACTTTTTGCGGGACACAGTTTGTCAACTGTGTCACTTATTGTTCAGGGAAAGAAATACTGGCTGCAGGTACCAGCTGTGGTCGCGTAGCAATGAGGAAAATGGTGTTTCAGTCAGGCAGCACCAAGTCAGACACTAAAATCCAGTGGAAGTTACAAGCTCCTACTGAAATACAAGGCAATGTCACACAACTAGAGTGGAATCCCAACTTAAATCTTTTAGCTGCTAACAATTCCTACACTGCCCTGACCCTGTCTGAACATGTTCTGTCAGCCCACTTCAACCAGCAGGTGGCAGCCGTTCAGGTTTTCACCGACTCAGCTCAGTGTCTCTCGGTTCAATCCAGAGATGCACTTGGCTCTGCAGTCAGACTCACATATCAAGGGTGTCTGTGGTACAAAGGAGTCATTGATAGTCTGGAGTGGCAAGCAGATTACTGTTTATGACATTTCAGAAACAGCCTTACGCACTTCTGGGTCATTTACTTGTGACTCCCATGTAGTAGCCGTACATGGAGAGAATCTATACACTGTAGAACCCAGTAGAGTCCAGATCCGTACACCCCAGGGCACGGTGAAGCAATTACTAACATTTTCAAAAAACCGAAGGAAACCCAGTACTGCTCAGTGTGTGCCAGTCATATCTAATAGTTGGCACAGACACTGCTCACATAAGAGTGTTTGATCTCTCCCGGAGAGATGCCAGAGCTCATTCAAGTGCCAAGAACCTGGCTGAGTTTATTCCCAATCTGGGAGACTTGAGTTCAGTTAAGTGTAACGCAAATGGCAGCCAAGTCAGCATCCTTATTACACAGGGAAAACGGAAAGCCAGACCACAAAGTCTACTTTTACGATGTTGAGATGGACACCATTACACACTTTGACTTCTTTAGTGGAAGACCCTCAAGTGGTATCACACCATCTGAAGATGGTGACAGGCATCAGTTAGAAGGGACAGAGCTCAGTGGCCGCTGTCCCATTTCTCATTTCTGGGATGAAAGTGAGCCTCGTCTTTTCGTTTGTGAGACTGTGCCGGTCAGCTCTGAGAGTTCATCACCTGTTCCTGTCGATGGGGCTGATGTTTCCGTGGTGACACTGTTCTGCACTCAGGAACATGGCCTTCTATTACACGACTGCTACCTCAAACCAGCGGTTCTGCAGTCTCTCCTTGCAATGGATGTGCCGTATTATTACTTCATCTGCAAGCCTGGGGAGAGGGATCCATCATGCCAATCTGAAGCCATATCTCCACACCTTCACCTGTCTCCCAAAAGTCCCATTGCTCCAAAGATGGTGTCAAGACGAGCACTTCGAGACTTTGTGGGGCTGGAGAACTGTGAGAAAACTACCCGAGACGCTATGTTAAATTTCAGCTTTTACTTGACCATTGGGGATATGGATGAAGCCTTTAAGTCTATCAAACTAATTAAAAGTGCAGCAGTATGGGAAAACATGGCGCGGATGTGTGTAAAAACCCGGCGCTTGGATGTGGCACGGGTTTGCCTCGGGAATATGGGAAATCCCAGAGCAGCGAAAGCTTTGAAGGAGGCTGAGGTCGAGCCAGAGGCTGAAGCACAAGTTGCAATGTTAGCCATTCAGCTTGGCATGTTGGAAGACGCTGAGAAGTTGTACAAGTCCTGTCAGCGATATGACCTGCTCAACAACTTCTACCAGGCCTCAGGAGACTGGCTGAAAGCTCTGGAACTAGCAGAAACGCATGATCGCATCCACCTGCGTACCACCTACTACAACTATGCAAAATACCTGGAAAGTTTAGGGAAGAAAGCACAGGCCATCACATTCTTTGAGAAATCCGAGAGCCACAGGGTTGAAGTACCAAGAATGCTTCAAGACGACACATCCTCTCTAGAAATATATGTGAACAAAATGAGAGACAAGAATGTGTACAAATGGTGGGCACAGTATCTTGAGAGCCAGTCGGACATGGATGCAGCACTACGCTACTATGAGTTGGCTCAGGATTACCTCTCTCTTGTTCGAGTTTTCTGCTACATGGGAAATATTCAGAAAGCGTCTGAGATTGCCAACGACACAGGG